TTTCAGGTCCCATCGCCAACCCCAAAACTCAGTGGCAGTAAAGGACAAAATGCCCCAAAAAAATCCCAAAATTCGTCTGGGCAGAGCAAACCCTTCAAAAATCCCTTTAAACCAAATTTTGGTGCCGAAAATCTCGGTTTCATTTTCGGGTCCCGTCGCTATTTTGGGCGGAAGGGAGGAAGGGGACAGCGGCGAGGGTTCGTCTAAATTTGGAAATCACCCCAAAAATCTGCTGCTGTCGGCAGAGCAGCGGAACTGCTCCACGCCCTGCTGGCGTGGTTTTAATTTAGTCACGGGTTTAATTAATGCGGAGGTTAATTAAAACTGGTTTTAGAGCCCCTGGGGAATACTCAGATCCATCCCAAACTCCTTCACCCACCCCAATTTTGGGCAATTTCATCAAAATTTCCCATTCCTGGGGCTCGCAAAGCCCCCCCCAAAAAAAATATTTCAGCCTCGGGATGGATGTGAGTCAGGGCTGAGCTGATTGGTGCCACTCGTTAATTACTCATTAATTACTCATTAATTAGTTCTGATTCATGCTGGAGCAGTGCCGCTGAATTTTTTTTGGGGGGGAAAACCTCAAAGTTGTCAGAATTTGGCCGATTTTTATCTGCCAAGGGCCTTAGCCGTGATTGATTAATGGATTGATGAATTAATTAATTAATTAATCAATCCATTAATCACTCAGCAGTGATTAATTCCCAGGTCACAGCCACAGAATTCCTGATGAGCAACTGAGGGGGGTGGGAAATTCCAGCTCATCTCGATCCTGTCACTTCCTGTCCCTCCTTGTCCCCCATCCTTGTCCCCTTGTCCCTCTGTCCTTGTCCCCAGACCCTCTCCAGCTCTCCTGAAGGTCCTTGAGATCCTGGAAGGGCTCTGAGATGTCCCTGGAGCTTCTCCTTGCCAGGCTGGAGAATCCCAAGTGTCCAAAGTGTCCTGAGGGATGGATGGAGATCATGGATGGATGATGGATGATGGATGATGGATGGATGGATGATGGATGGATGATGGATGNGGATGATGGATGATGGATGATGGATGGATGGATGGATGGATGATGGATGGATGGATGATGGATGGATGGATGGATGGATGGATGGATGGATGGATGGATGGATGATGGATGGATGGAATCCATGGATGGATGGATGATGGATGGATGGATGGATGGATGGATGGATGGATGGATGCTGAAGGATGGAGGGACAGATGGATGGAGATCATAGATGGATGGATGGAGTCCATGGATGGAATTCATGGATGGGCGGATGGATGATGGATGAATGGAATCCATGGATGGATGGATGGAATCCATGGAAGGATGGATGGAATCCATGGATGGATGGATGGAATCCATGGATGGATGGATGGAATCCATGGAAGGATGGATGGAATCCATGGATGGATAGATGGAATCCATGGATGGATGGATGGAATCCATGGAAGGATGGATGGAGGAAGGGATGGATGGACGGATGGAGGTACAGGAGGTGACCCAGACGTGCCCCGGGAGGTTCCCCCGTGTCCCTCCGGTGTCCGGGGCCTCTCCCCCGCTCCCGTGTCCCTCCCCCACCCCCTTCCCCTCCCCTCCCCCCCGTTTCCTCCACCCCCGCAGCCCCGGGCCGGATGCGGCTCCGGGCCCGAGGGGCCGCGGCTGCTTCCTGCCCGCGCCGGGGGCGCGCCCCGGGCCCGGCCCACGCGCACCGGGCACCGGGCACGGCAACGGGCACCGGGCACGGGACAACCGGGCTGGGCAACGGGCAATGGGCATGGGACAACCAGGCTGGGCAATGGGCAATGGGAACAGGGCATGGGGCACCGGGCACGGCAACGGGCACCGGGCACGGCAGCGGGCACCGGGCTGGGCAACGGGCAATGGGAACTGGGCAACTGGGCTAGACAACGGGCAACAGGCACCGGGCATGGGACACCGGGCACCGGGCAATCGGGCTGGGCACCGGGCACCTGGCACGGGGCAACCGGGCATGGCAACGGGCAATGGGAACAGGGCAACCGGGCTGGGCAACGGGCAATGGGAACAGGGCAACTGGGCTGGGCAACGGGCAACAGGCACTGGGCATGGGGCACCGGGCACCGGGCTGGGCAACAGGCACCGGGCACGGGGCAACCAGGCTGGGCAACGGGCAATGGGCACGGGACAACCGGGCTGGGCAACGGGCACCGGGCACCAGGCTAGACAACGGGCAACAGGCACCGGGCATGGGGCACCGGGCACCAGGCAACTGGGCTGGGCAACAGGCAACAGGCACCGGGCACCGAGCACGGCAACAGGTACGGGGCACGGGACAACCGGGCTGGGCAATGGGCAATGGGCACTGGGCACGGGGCAACTGGGCTGGGCAATGGGCAATGGGCACGGGACAACCAGGCTGGGCAACAGGCACCGGGCACCGGGCATGGGGCACTGGGCACCGGGCTGGGCAACGGGCACCGGGCACTGGGCACGGGGCAACCGGGCTGGGCAATGGGCACCAGGCACCGGGAACCAGGCACCGGGCAACCGGGACTGGGGAATGGGCAACGGGCACTGGGCAACTGGGACTGGGGAACGGGCAATGAGGACTGGGCAACTGGGACTGGGGAATGGGCAATGGGCACCGGGCAACTGGGACTGGGGAATGGGCAACCGGGCATGGGGCAACCGGACTGGGCAACCGGCAACGGGCACCAGGCAAGGGGCAACCGGGACTGGGGACCAGGCACTGGGCATTGGTCACTGGTCACTGGGAATTGGGCATTGGGCACTGGGAATTGGGCACTGGGCATTGGGCACTGGGCACTGGGCATTGGGAATTGGGCATTGGGAATTGGGCACTGGACACTGGGCATTGGTCACTGGTCACTGGGAATTGGGCATTGGGCATTGGGCACTGGGAATTGGGCACTGGGCACTGGGCATTGGGCATTGGGCACTGGGCATTGGGCATTGGGCTCCGGGAATTGGGCATTGGGCTCTGGGAATTGGGCACTGGACACTGGGCATTGGGCATTGGGCATTGGGCACTGGGAATTGGGCACTGGGCATTGGGCATTGGGCATTGGGCATTGGGCACTGGGAATTGGGCACTGGGCATTGGGCATTGGGCATTGGGCACTGGGAATTGGGCACTGGGCACTGGGAATTGGGCACTGGGCATTGGGCATTGGGAATTGGGCATTGGGAATTGGGCACTGGGCACTGGGAATTGGGCACTGGGCACTGGGCACTGGGCATTGGGCATTGGGAATTGGGCACTGGGCACTGGGAATTGGGCACTGGGCACTGGGCACTGGGCATTGGGCATTGGGAATTGGGCATTGGGAATTGGGCACTGGGCACTGGGAATTGGGAATTGGGCACTGGGAATTGGGCACTGGACACTGGGCATTGGGCACTGGACACTGGGCACTGGGCATTGGGCACTGGACACTGGGCATTGGGCACTGGGCACTAGGCATTGGGCATTGGGCATTGGGCACTGGGAATTGGGCACTGGGCACTGGGAATTGGGCACTGGACACTGGGCATTGGGCATTGGGCACTGGGAATTGGGCACTGGACACTGGGCATTGGGCATTGGGCACTAGGCATTGGGCATTGCAATCCCATAAATAAATATCCCAAATATTTCAGAATTCTTTCTCTCCACTCCTTTCCTACAGGCAACATTCCAAATATTTCAGGATAATTTCTCCCTACTCCATTCCTGCAGGTGTAATCCCATAAATAAATATTCCCAAAAATTCAGGATTATTCCCCTTCACTCATTTCCTGCAGAGGCAACCCCATAAATAAATATTCCCAAAAATTCAGGATTATTCCCCTTCACTCATTTCCTGCAGAGGCAACCCCATAAATAAATATTCCTAAAAATTGAGGATTATTCTCTCCCCTCCTTTCATACAGGTGCAATCCCATAAATAAATATTCCAGGATAATTTCTCTCCACTCTTTTCCTGCAAGCACAATCCCATAAATACATATTCCCGATATTTCAGGATTTTACTTCTTCACTGCTTTCCTACAGACTCAATCCCGTAAATAAATATTCCAAATATTCCAGGATAATTTCTCTCCGCTCCTCTCCTGCAGGCACAATCCCGTAAATAAATATTCCAAATAATTCAGGATTTTACTTCCTCACTGCTTTCCTACAGACGTAATCCTATAAATAAATATCCCCGATAATTTCTCTCCACTCATTCCCTGCAGGTGTAATCCCATAAATAAATAATCCCATTATTTGAGGATTTAGGAACATTTTTCCTCCTCCCCGGGGCGCAGGGGGTTAAATCCCATTTCCAGGCCCGCTGGCGCTGCCGGATCCGGGAATTTCGGGATAATGCGATTCCCATCGGGAACGCAGCCACAGCGCCATCCAAACCGAGCGCGGCGAGGGGGGAAAAAAAACCCCAAAATCCTCATCCGAAAGCGCTGGGAAAAGGTCCAAAAAAAAAAAAAAATCCAAAAAAAAAATCAAAATATCCTCCTGGCTCAAACCCGCCCGCCCGGCCGCGCCGCGATCCGTGAACCGCAAATTTTACCGGAGCGTGCGGGCGGGCGCCGCCATGATTGTACCGGGATGGGGAGGAGGGGGGGGACACGGGGACAAACCGGGGGACACGGGGACAAACCGGGGGACAGGGACAAGCGGGGGAACGGGGATAACCGCGGGGAACGGGGATAACCGCGGAGAACGGGGATAACCGCGGAGAACGGGGGGGGGACAGACAGACAGACAGAAAGTGGGGGGGTGGATTTTGGTGGCTCGGGGCCACATCCGCCACCCCCCCACGCTGTCCCCGCGTTGTCCCCTCGCTGTCACTTCGCCCCGCCCGCCTGTGGCTTCTCGCTGTCGCCGCTGCCCCACTGTCCCTCCATCCCCGGCGGTCCCCCCGGGAGAGGCGGGGAGGAGGAGGAGGAGGAGGAGGAGGAGGAGCGCACCGAGAGTGGCGGAGGGGTGGTGGTGGTGAGGGGGGGGTTTTAGGGGGTGGGGAGGGCAGGAAACCCTCCTGGAAGTATGAAGGAGATGGTGGGAGGCTGCTGTGTGTGTTCCGACGAGCGCGGCTGGGCGGAGAACCCGCTCGTCTATTGCGACGGCCACGGCTGCAATGTGGCCGTGCACCAAGGTGAGCCCCGAGCCCCCCGAACCCCTCCGGGGGACGCGGCGGGCTGAGGATGGCGGGGCTGGGTGCTGGGGTGCTCCCGCTTTGTTTTAGCGCTATTGTTCCCAATAACGGTGTCGCCGCGGAGAGGAGGGGGACACGGTGGCGACACGGTGGGGACAGCAGCGGAGCCCCCCGCCCCGGGAGTGGCCGCAGCGGGGATTTGTCCGCTGTGCCCCCCGGTTTAACGGGGAGGGGAAGAGGCGCTGTCGCCCCCCCAGCCCGGCCCGGGGGTGTCGGGACCGGGGGGCGAAGCACCGGAGGGGGCGGCGGGGCGCGGAGCTGCGTCCTGCGAGGGTAGGGAGGGAGGAAGGCAGCCTTCCTCCTCCTCCTCCTCCTCCTCCTCCTCCTCCTCCTCCTCCGCCGCCGCCGCTCCCGGCGACACGGGCGATTTGCATTTTAAATGACTCCGAGCCCGCCCCCGCCGGCGCACGGTAACGGGCCCGGAAAGTTTGGCCTGGGCTCGGTGAACAAAACAAATCCGGATTAAAATCGCGATTCCAGGCGGCGGAGGGGCGGCGAATCCCTGCTGGCTTGCTTTGGAATGCGCCGAGGGTTCCCGGCTGCTCGGGCCGCGCTGTTTTCCCGGCCGCTGGTATCCCCTTCTCGTCCCGGTTGTTGTTATCCCGTTCCTGTCCCGGTTGTTGTTATCCTGTGCCTGTCCCGGTTGTTGTTATCCTGTCAGTTTCTCGGTTGTTGTTATCCCATTCTTGTCCCGGTTGTTGTTGTCCCGTCAATTTCCTGGTTGTTGCTTTACCCCGTTCCTGTCCCGGTTGTTATTATCCCATTCCTGTTCCAGTTGTTGTTGTCCCATTCCTGTCCCAATTGTTGTTATCCTGTGCCTGTCCCGGTTGTTGTTCTCCTGTCAGTTTCTCGGTTGTTGTTATCCCATTCCTGTCCCGGTTGTTGTTATCCCGTCAATGTCCCGGTTGCTATTATCCCATTCCTGTCCCAGTTGTTATTTTAGCCTGTGCCTGTTCCAGTTGTTGTTATCCCGTCAATGTCCCGGTTGTTATTATCCTGGGCCTGTCCCCGTTGTTGTTATCTCATCCCTGTCCCGGTTGTTGTTATCCTGTCAGTTTCTCGGTTGTTGTTATCCCATCCCTGTCCCAATTGTTGTTATCCTGTCCCTGTCCCAGTTGTTGTTATCCCGTCAATGTCCCGGTTGTTATTATCCTGTGCCTGTCGCCGTTGTTGTTATCTCATCCCTGTCCCAGTTGTTGTTATCCTGTCAGTTTCTCGGTTGTTGTTATCCCATCCCTGTCCCAGTTGTTGCTATCCCATCAATTTCCTGGTTGTTGCTTTATCCCGTCCCTGTCCCGATTGTTATTATCCCATTCCTGTTCCACTTGTTGT